TACAGCCAGCATTGAGATGCAGGGGGGGAGAAAAGAAGGGTCACCACTTACCAGGAAACTATGTATTTCATCCTACATGGAACCTGACTCAAAGCATTAGGTTTTCTGGGCTGGAATCAGAAGTTGCTTAGCAAGTTATGACAGTTGCCTTCTGTGGTTGAAGGTGACAAGCCAGTGGTGGCTTTTGTCAGCTGAGTCCCATTGTTGTTAAAACATTGACAAATGGGGATAGTTTGTGCCTGAAGTTGCTGTTCCCTGGTTCACCTCACCACCAGCGACGGAGGGAAAATGAAAACGGAATCATAAAACAGGAAATATGCCGTATACACCTAAGAGGGGTCAGTGGTCGAATTGGAACTCTGAACCAACCAGTACATGTTTTGTTGACAGGAAAAAAATCACAGCCCAACCAAAAAGAAAACTGTATCAAACATTTTCAAATTACAGTATTTCAAAAGGAAGAAGTTATCCTTTGTTTTGTGTATTGCTTTAAATCTCAAGAAGGATAGTTTTATAAACTCTTTTAGTTACCCTAAGTTTTAAGCATCTTGTTGCATTTAAAAAAATCCTAATTGATGGTTAGAAATTTTTAACAATGGGATTCCATTTTGGATTCTGTACTCAAAAGGTAATGTCAGCATCTTACTCTTGGAGATCTTGGCTCTACATATATTATGAGAAGCATGTTATATATACTCGTCTGAGGAGGAAGCTGAGATTTTGCAAAGCAAACCCTCTTTTTTTTTTTTTTTAATTCCACTTTTGTGGTATGTAGCTGGTGAAAAATAATAGCTGTAGTTAGAATCACATACTGGAAGAATGAGTAAATCCTCCAAAGAAGGCTAAAGAAAAGAAAAAAAGGGAAAGCTGTGCTTCTTAGAAAAGGAATTCAGGGGAATAAAACCTCAAGTATGTTATTCTTCATCCTGTTCTTCCCATCGGGACTGTTAATGGCCATATTCTATACTGTAGTAAGTTTCAAATTGGCCACATTTTCTGTTTCAGCAAGTTATTATGTAAAAATGCTATAAATTATGTGTATGTTAAAAGAGTCCTTTAAGAAGAGATCTATACCTAAAGTTGTTTTTGTATATTTAAATGCTTAGCTTTATTTTTTGGTAAAGTGCAGCACACTCCCATATTTGTGTGTAATCTTATTGATCAGATGTTTAAAATTATTTCAAATACTTCATTAAAATAATTATTTTATTATAAGAATAACTTTGCTCAGTCACTGACTTTGGAAATATCTCTGGAAGTTAGCCCCTGAAGCTGGGGGCAGGGCAGTAGATCTTTCTTGGCTGGGATTGTTACTTTGGAGTGTGAGCATTTGGGTTCCAGAAGCTCACTTCAGATCCAAGTTCCTGTATCACTTCCTTTGAAATAGTTGTAAACTTGCATGGTATTTGACTCACAATGAAAGCTACACATATTCATTACAAAAGCTTCTCTTGCGCATCAAGGTTTTCTTACAAAGGTATTCTTTTTCAAAATTTATCCTTAATATACATTTTTAAACTTTGTGTCCTAAAGTATATCTTACACACAAAAGAACAAACGCAGTGGACCCAAGGTATTCTTCCACTCAGTTTGCAAAATGATGGCCTTGGGGCCGATTTGATCTCTAAATGCATTCTCTGTGACTCACATGGTGCTGCCAATATTTTAATTCACAGAAATCTATATTTCCACTTCTTCTGAAAAATTAGAAGATCTAGAGTTACTAGGTGTACCGTTTGTGTGACAGTCTGCTGGAGCCGACCAGTGGCTGTCCACTTTAGATGTGGGAGCCTAAGTTCACCTTCCCTTGCCTGATCCCTTTAAGCACTGAAGTGTGAGACTCTGCCTTCAATGTTGATCTTAAGTGATGAACACTAAAAGGGGAAAGTGCCAGAAATTCTCCATCTATTTACTGTTTTTTAAGCAATTTTATTGAGGCATGTTTTACATATAAAATTCACCATTTTATCCATTTAATTTTCATATGACCAATGGACCTTTTAAATTGTTTCCTCCTGAATATCTGTAAGGTTTTTCTCCTCTTAAAAGAAGCGAAGTTTAACATTCTTGTAAAGCCTATATTTCATTTTCTTTTTTTTTTTTTTTACTGAATGAAAGATTCTTTAAATTCTCTAGCGCTTTAGTGCTTTACAATTTTCAAAAGTTTCACACACATGATTTCATATAATCCCATAGTAACCCTTTTTTCCCTACTTCTGTAATGCCCCTCCCTCCTTCCCTCTCCCCACTGGTAACCACTAGTTTGTTCTCTGTATCTGTGAGTCTGCTTCTTTTTCGTTTTATTCACTAGTTTGTTGTATTTTTTAGATTCCACATATAAGTAATATCATACAGTATTTGTCTGACTTATTTCACTTAGTGCAGTGCCCTCCAAGTCCATCCATGTTACTGCAAATGGCAAAATTTCATTCTTTTTTATGGCTGAGTGGTATTCCGTTGTGTGTGTGTGTGTGTGTGTGTGTGTGTGTGTGTGTACTACATCTTCTTTATCCATTCATTTGTTGATGGAAATTTAGGTTGCTTCCATACTTGACAATTGTAAATAATGCTGCTATGAACGTTGGGGTGCATGTATCTTTTAAAATTTGTGGTTTTGTTTTTTTTGGATATACACCCAGGAGTGGAATTGCTGGGTCATATGGTAGTTCTAGTTATAGTTTTTGGAGAAGCCTCTATACTTTCTTCCACAGTGGCTGCACCAATTTATTGGGTTGGCCAAAGAGTACCTTCAGTTTCTAAGTAAAAATAAAAGACACATTTTTCATTTTCACCAAGAACTTTATTGAACAACGTATTCACCCTTTTGTTCCACTACCTTCTGCCATTTTTCAGGCAAGTTCAAAATTCCATCTTCCCCAAACTTTTTATCTTTTTGAGCAAAGAACTGTTCCAGGTGCTTTTTACAGTCTTCCAGGGAATTAAAAATTTTTCCATTAGGAGAATTTTGTAACAACCTAAATAAATGGAAATCCGAAGGTGCAACGTCTGGTGAATATGACGGATAAATCAGAACTTCCCAGACAAGCTGTAACACTTCTTACCTGGTCATCAAAGAAACGCGGGCTTGCGTTATCCTGATGGAAGATTATGCATTTTCTTTTGACTAATTCTGGATGCTTTTCATCAAATGCTGCTTTCAGTTGGTCTAATTGGGAGCAGTACTTGTCGGAATTAATCGTTTGGTTTTCCGGAAGGAGCTCCTAATAGAGGACTCCCTTCCAATTCCACGATATACACGACATCACCTTCTTTGGATGAAGACCGGCCTGTGGTGTGTTTGGTGGTTCATTTCGCCTGCACCTCGATCTCTTCCACTCCACATTATTGTACAGTATCCACTTTTCATCACCTGTCGCAATTTGTTTTAAAAACGGAACGTCTTCATTACGTTTAAGTAGAGAACTGCATGTAGAAATACGGTTGAGGTTTTTTTCGCTTAACTTACATAGAACCCAAACATCAAAGCAATTAACATAACCAAGCTGGTGCGATTTTCAATGCTTGATTTGGATATTTCGAGTCTGTCGACTGTCTCCCGCGTGGTGTAATGTTGATTGTTCTCAGTTAATGTCTCAATTTGATCACTGTCAACTGGTCTACCCAACCGTGGAGCATCATCCAGCGAGAAATCTCCAGCACAAAACTTCGCAAACCACTTTTGACATGTTTGATCAGTCACAGCACCTTCTCCATATACTGCACAAATCATTTTTTTGCATTTCGGTTGCATTTTTACCTTTCTTGAAATAATAAAGCATAATATGCCGAAAACGTTGCTTTTTTCTTTCATCTTCAGTATTAAAATGGCTACACAAAAATTCGCTAATTTTGATGTCATTTTTTAAACGCATGCTGATATGACAGCGGTAACATACAGTCTAACAAAATTGTTTTGAATGAAGTTAAAGACAACTAAGTGCTACTAGAGCCATCTTATGAAAAAACCAAATGAACCTTTTGGCCAACCCAATACATTCCCACCAACAGTGTACGAGGGGTCCCTTTTCTCCACATCCTCGCCAACATTTGTTACTTGTGGGGTTTTTGTTTCTTTGTTTTGTTTTTTGGATGATGGCCATTCTGACAGGTGTAAAGTGATATCTCATTGTGGTTTTGATTTGCATTTCCATGATGACTAGTGATGTTGAGCATCTTTTCATATGCCTGTTGGCCGTCTGCATTTCCTCTTTAGAAAAATGTCTGTTCAGTTCTGTCCATTTTTTTTAATCAGTTGTGGTGGTTTTTTTTTTTTGATGTTGAGTTGTATGAGTTGTTTATATATGTTGGATATTAACCCCTTACTGGCCATATCATTTGCAAGTATCTTCTCCCATTCAATAGGTTGTCTTTTCATTTTGTCAGTGGTTTCCTTTGCTGTGTAAAAGGTTTTAAGTTTAATTAGGTCCTATTTGTTTATTTTTACTTTTGTTTCCTTTGCTTTAGGAAACAGATCCAAAAAATATTGCTACGATTTATGTCAAAGGGTGTTCTGCCTCTGTTTTCATCTAGGAGTTTCCTCTATGTATTCAGCCTTACATTTAGGTCTTTAATCCATTTTGAATTTATTTTTGTATATGGTGCTAGAGAATTTCTAATTTCATTCTTTTACAAGTAACTCTCCAGTTTTCGCAGCACCATTTATTGAAGAGACTATCTTTTCTCCATTGTATATTCTTGGTTCCTTTTTCATGAATTAATTGACCATGGCATTGGGTTTATTTCTGGGATTTCTATCCTGTTCCATTGAGCTAAGTGTCCGTTTTTGTGCCAGTACCATACTGTTTTAATTACTGCAGCTTTGTAGTATAGTCTGAAGTCAGGGAGCATGATTCCTCCAGCTCTGTTATTCTTTCTCAAGATTGTTTTGGCTATTTGGGTTTTTTTGTGTTTCCGTACAAATTTTAAAAT